TTGTTACTACTAGTAAGGCACTTGTTACTACTAGTAAGGCACTTGTTACTACTAGTAAGGCACTTGTTTCTAATGGCTTATTGTATAGCGAACATTGCTACTACTAGTAAGGCACTTGTTACTCCTAGTAAGGCACTTGTTACTACTAGTAAGGCATTTGTTTCTAATGGCTTATTGTTTCTAATAGCGAACATTGTTACTACTAGTAAGGCACTTGTTACTACTAGTAAGGCACTTGTTTCTAATGGCTTATTGTTTCTAATAGCGAACATTGTTACTACTAGTAAGGCACTTGTTACTAGTAGCGTGGCACTTGTTTCTAATGGCTTATTGTTTCTAATAGCAAACATTGTTACTACTAGTAAGGCACTTGTTACTAGTAGCGTGGCACTTGTTACTAGTGTCGTCCGTCAGTCTCCTGTCTTCTTCCTTTTTTCTCTCCTAGTTTCAATCTTCCCATTTTCTTCCTGCCTTTCTCCCATCTTCTTCCTCCTCCTTCCTCTCTCCTGAATTTTTCTCTTTACTGTCTTCCTGTTTCCTCTCCTATCCTTTTCCTGGTTGCCTCATGTTTTTCTTTCCTCCTGCTTTCTTCTCCGTCACGCACGCAAAAAAATCCTGTCTCCTGCCTCCGCTATCTCCAAGTTTCCTTCTTGGCTTCAAGAATTGCAGGAGCATCTGCCGCTGCCCTCATGGCCGTCCCTGGCTTTGTGACCCCGGGTGATGTCCCACGGCAGATGGAGGCGACAGGGTTGACTTGGAGAGTGAACAAATAAGAAGGGAGCCCAAGTTCAGTTTCGTCCCAGTTGGTCAAGTGCGGTCATATCACCATGCCAAGCATTCCGCCAGCAAGGGGAACACCCAATAACAGGGAAATAGATTTGATCTGACTCAAACCTGAAAAGTGGCGGGCCAAAGCTCCAGAGCGCTTCATATTAAAGGGATGGTCATCCCTCCAATAAAGTCAAAGACTATACCCCAAAGATAACATTGGTAGCATCATTGACCTGTCTCTCAATCTCGATAGTCATAGATGGTGTCGTTGTGCCCGTCAGGTGTCTCATGGTGGTGCTGCTGCCTCTGCACCCGCTGCTGCGCATCGCAGCAGCGTGCCCGGCTTGGCCGCTGCCAGCATTGCGATGGGGGCCACAGCAGCCTCTGCCTCCCGCTGCTTGTACGCAACCTCACGTCAATCTTGGGGGTACGGGTAGTCCATTCATCTCTTTGGATGGATTGAAACTTCTGAGAAAGTAGCCTTCTGGAGCTTCACCTTCCAAAATAAGGCCGGAAGGCCCGCAGCCAGAAGTCTGCGGTCAAGGTCAAGAGCTCCGCGCAGGAGAGGTCGAGGTTGGACACTTTTGACAGCTGCGATGTAACCTGCTCGGGCCTATGGTCAGATCATGTCAGATCTATTCTTTTTTGGTACTCGAGTTTGTGCTTCGGCATGGCTTGATGTTCTTTTACTTGTCTTCCTCTCGCATGGTTTCATGCAGGCTCGTGTGGTTTTGCCCGATTTCTTGTCATTTCCAGGAGCCTGGTCTTCCTGACTTGGTGGCAAAGGTACAGGATTTGTTGCAGGCCCCGGATCAAGGCCTGGGATGTGATTTGGGTGATTTGGGGTGGTCAGAAGGGACACAGGTATATAAGTTGGATGGATGGAGTACACATTGACCATCATTGACACATGAGGCTATAGTGTTTGGAACATTGCAGCCCTCCGCAAACCTGTGGGATCTCACTTTTTCCCTTTGCAGTGGGCGAAGAACCAATTATTTTTGGAATGCTGTGAGCCTGTCCGGACAGTTCATAAGTTCATATCCCATGTCTAGCGGAATTTTGTAGCCCTGGATGTTCGTCCCTGCAAACATAAATATGTCATGATATGTCAATAGACGTCAATAGTATAACCTTTTTCTTTGCTGGCTTCGTAAAAGCTACCGGGTTTCGAGCAGCTTTTCTGCTTTCAGGCGGTTTTAGACCCACTGAACACACGGTCGCTTGGTTTCTGGTGGAGTTCATGTCATGAAGCGAATGTCTGCAGAGGTCGCCTTCGAGATGTGAAGGCTCTGGCGGCAGAGCTCCGGGCCAAGGCGATGGAACACATCGGGGTATGTGAGAAACACAAAGCAATGGCCTCCACCCTAGTAGCGATGGTTGTATAGAACCCCTCCACTCCACTGACACATTTTAGTCTTTGCATGATTCGCATGTCCGGCCAGAAGGATGCTCCATCCACCATAAAAAGAACATCTAAGGATATCCCTTCACATGGACAACCCTTCATATGTGTTTCATCTCAGGTTTGTCTCTCCCACAAAGACAACAATGGGTGTTGTGTTGCAGTATCTTTGGTTGTGCATAGAGATGGCTGTTTGTATCAGGCACGGAAGCAATAACACAACAATAACAAATTTGACAACGTAGTGAACGCTGGCACACAAGGGCCAATGCGTTTAGTAGCTGTGCCAGTCTGGAACGAACTGCACATTGGTGTCATGTTTTCCAGTTCCATACAGCACAAATGCATCCACTGCCTGCATTGCACACAAATGTACACTACACATGCTGCAGCTAGTCAAAGCACGGCAACAACGATACAGCCAAAAGGTGTACAGTGTACAGGGAAAACAGATGTTTCCAAGACAACCTATATATGTGTTCTTTCACGTTTTATTTCCTGCGAGCCGCTGGGGGATTTAAACAGTGTCCTCACCCCATGAACTGGACTAGACGTTTCAGCAACGTTTTGTTTTGACATACGGTCTTGTTGGTTCAGGATGCTGATGCCAACAGCCCTCTCCGCTGGATGGCCAACATCGCAGCATCGCTGTTGCTGACTCAGAGCATGGCCTTGCAGCCACTTGGCAAAGAGAGGACCACCCCCTGGCGAAGAAGAGCTGCCGTCTGGGAGTGCACCTCCTGACTTTGTCATGGGAGTTCACAAAGGCTTGGGAGAAAAAACAGCAGAAAGATGGAGCATCCACTAGGACCCGCAGCTCATGAAAAAGGTCTTGTTTCCAAAGTGCCAGTCGTGCCTGGCACCTCGTTCGACGCACGTTGCACGGCATTGGCTACTCAGGCCGGCGCATGCGGGGGATGTGGTGAACTATTCCGATTTCATGGAGTCCATCAACAAGGGAGAAGTTGAGATGGTGCGCGTGCAGCAAGACATGCTGTCGGCGCAGTACACGACTAAGGACACCAATATGCGGTGTTCCAACTCAAGGTCAATAGCAAGTATACATTCATTTTGCTTCACGATGATACCGTATACATCCATATACCAGGTGATGTTGGCCAAGCCAGTGTTTGGACCCTTGGATCGCTTGCAGGATGGCTCCCGGCGTGAAGTGAACCTGATCCCGAATGCACAGATTGAGGATCAGCTCTTCAATCAACTGGCCGACAAAAAGGTAGATGTGGTGACGTGTCCATCTGGCTGGGGCGGAACCAATTGGGCACTGCCACTCCTTTTGGATCACACCTTTTGCTTGATCCTGTCGAAAGGTTTGCAGTTCACATGGCTATGGTTTGACAATTGGATTTGCCCGAACCCTGCTCTTTACATTGAAAACATTGCCAAAGCTGGTCGGATGGTAGCTCGAAATACAGTAATTAGGTGTATATAGTTTAAACGATATAATGTAACTGTAACTGTACATATTCGCCACATCCACATTTGTGTAGACACCCGTGCAACCTGCCTGCCCTCTACTCCTCTACTCCTCTACTCAATCTCTACCAAAGCTTGAAAACCCCCTGTGATGATGTCTTGCCGCAAGGTATACTGTAAAGAGTCGACCGACAGTAGTGAAGAGCCACTTCCAACTGTCACAAGACTGCCAGGTTCCCGTACCTTCCTCATGTGCCGAATCGGGGCTCCAGGATCCACAAGTACTTCCGAAGCTTGCTGCCCTCAAGAATACATATACGGTGGTATTTCTTTACCTGTCATGGGCCCTAGGATGTAGAGTTCATCAAGCCCTGGCAAACTGACAAGACTCTGTTGCATGCGACTATTTAATTTCACGTGACACTTTAGAAAAGCACGAAGGAGTCACTTCCATCAAGTTCAGCTTTTTCCTGCTTGACTTCCTACCGTGACACCACCCCATGTTTCCGATCATATGCAACATCTCCGACTTCGCCCTGAGGTGATGCAGAATGCTGGCGCCGGTGGGTCGCCCTTGGACTTCTTGGCGCGCTTCGCAGGGCCCATCGCGTGGCTCATCGCCGGGCTTTTGCTGCTCTTTGGTGGCTTGCCCTTTGGAGGAGCGATGCTGTGAGCAGAAGGGGAACAATGCAGCACTGGCTGTGACAGGGTGTGGTGAATGTTGCTCTCATAGGTGGCCTAGGGATCTAGGGGAAAACGCGTGCAAACAAAGAGGGTGAAGGTTGGAGGTTCTCCACATGAATCACATTACACTCAGGCTCTGTGTCCATTCTCAAAAAAAGCATTTGTGCACTGGCAGAGTTCTTTTGACCCCTCCGTCCTGTTCATTGTGAGGGTCGTTGATTGTGGACTCAACATTCAGTGGCTGTTCAGGACCCGGCGGACCTGGAGGCCCCGGTGGAAACCCCTTTGAGCTTGGCAAGTCAAAGGCCCGCATCATCAAGGACCGGATGGATTTTCGGGACTTCGGGAGATTGGGTCTCCGTGCGATTCAGCTCTCGGTCTCTGCAAGTCACCGTGTTGACAGCACCCTGTTGAAGATTGATTCTGGTGCTATTTGGGAGGCTGCATGTCATTGCATGTCTGCCAATTATGGGACATAGTTGTTTGTCTTGAAATTCAAGCTGTCCACCTACACCACGCACGGCCGTTGGAAGGATGGAGACACTAAAGTGAAGTTCGCAGACGTAGCAGGCACGCACCAAACCATTGGACTGACTGATGCGATTGAGAGGCTGAGAGACGCTCAGATGCTGAATGCAAGTTGGTGTCAGACACAACACAAAGACGGGACTCGTTGAGAAAGACGGCCTTTCATCCCCTCCGCAAAGGTCCATCGTGCGAGAGCTTTGCTTCTCATTTTTCAGCTTGGTTTTCGGACTTGCTTTGGCTTCTCTTTGATAATTCCAAGGTCTTCGCTCTGTTGCTAGAGGCGCCAACAGTCCTGGTGTAAATTCATTGAGGAAGTCAACTGGATTTGACCTTTTCGAGTGTCAGCAACCTGCTTTCAGAAGACTTCGGTTTATGCTGAAACCCTTAAGGCTGTAGGTTTGGTACTCAGGGTTTCGTTGTTGTGGAACCTCTGACGATCTAATCTCTTTTTGACCGTGACGATGAGAAGGCTGCGACGGAGCAAAGACGGAATTGGTTGAGGTGGTTGACTTCTTGAAGAACACCTCCAGGCAGCGGCAGCGCGTTCACTTTTTTGCAACCCACAAACACTGCTCGCTCTCGAGCCCCCAAGTTGCCTGCGAACAGTCTGCGCAAGCGATGACCACCCTTGCCACCCACACTCACACACACTGTGAAGACTCCTCGTGGGAGTTGCCACATGAGATGAAACAGCCCAAGTTTCGGGTGAAAAGGTGGCTGGGAGCCCGTCCAACCTAAACCCCAAATAAAGCATGGAATCCAAAGTGCCATAGTGCAGATCCTTTGCTTGTGCATTTCCGTTTTTCTTGGCTTGGGCAAAACTCCGTGCTCCTGAATGGAGCAAGACCGGCTCAATTGGGCAAGCGTATACACCAGCCAAGATGAGCAATCCTTGCAAAATGCAGGAGATGGTAAACCTGTCATTTCTTCCGAACTCATGCAGGGTCTGGCCATGGTGTAGGTTTGGGAATGTTTGGGACATATCTTTGCCCAACAACAGTCCAAGATAGGCATCACACTCAGTCTTCAAGTGAGGACCCATGAAGCTGTGGCGCAAAAATGGCTACCATCCAAACCCTCTCTGTGAAGGAAACCAACACCTGCGGGTACTGGGCCTCATTATTAGAGTGAGGCCTACAGTAAGAGCTCCTCACCAATAGGGCATTTGCGAGGTATTCGGAGCTCGGTGCCAAGATCCCGAAGGGAGCCTTGCTGGTTGGGCCACCCGGAACTGGAAAGACCTTGCTTGCAAAGGCGGTGGCAGGGGAGGCAGGTGCCGTCTCCTGTGTGGCTTTATGTTTTTTTGTAATGGGTACGCCATTGCACATTCAGTACAGCAGTTGTAGTAGGCAGTAGACGTCCGTTGTCATAGTCGTCACACAAGGGTCTGTGTGGTTCACCTTGTTTTTTTGAAGACCGAACCACATTTGTCCGATTTGAGCAGGCCGGCGTGCCCTTTTTCAGCATCTCCGCGTCTGAGTTTGTTGAGATCTTTGCGGGTATCGGTGCCTCTCGCGTGCGAGACCTCTTCGAGCAGGCCGTATGGATTGGTGTGAGTCAACGTTTGCCAGTATGCGCAAACCCTGGCGAAACATGCCGTGTGGGCGTGAGAATACCAAGATTTCAAAGGCAGCCTGTAGAAAACTGTGAAGGGGAACTAGGGGGTAGGTAGCTGTATTCCTGAGAAGAGTCAGTCACAGCTTGCTTTTGTACGTCTAGTGACACGGGGCGTCAAGGCACATGCCATCAGCGAATGGTCTCAGCCATTTCATTTCAGCAAGCCCCGGGAACCCTGGTGAGGCGAAGAAGTCGGCGCCGTGCATCATCTTCATCGATGAGATCGATGCGGTTGGGCGGCAGCGAAGTGCCGGCTTCGGCCAAGGAGGGGAGTTGGTGTCCACATGATGTGGCTTGTGACGCGATTTGGGACGATGTTAGGATGGGACAATATGGGGCAATTTAGATTGGAGCAGCGGAGTCCAGGTCCATTCCAAGGGTAGTTATTTCATTTCAGGCCAATTTCTCTAGGTGTTTGGTGGTTTGGTATGAATCCCTTGCAGGAAACGACGAGCGTGAGCAGACGGTGAATCAGCTCCTGACGGAGATGGATGGCTTCCTAGCACAGTAACAGTAACAGGTGTGTGACTGGAGGTCCCAGAGTAGGAGGACTCACAGGCTCCTTAACTTGACCTTTTTGGGGTGGGCAATCAGCAATAATTGAGTGCTCTTTCAGTGTCATAGGGGAAGAGTAGAAAACATGCTTTTCGAGTGGGTGTGCAAGCTATACAACTTTTAAGACTCTTTAGCGAATGAGCGTGTCTCATGACTCCTACAAAGATTCATCTTCCGTCTTGACAACCCCTGATGCATTGTGTTGGCTTGGACGCCTTCTTCAAAGCTCAGGCTTTGAGAGCAACAAGGGTGTGGTGGTCATTGCGGCCACGAACCGTGCAGACATTCTGGACCAGGCCAGAGTTTTTTTTGATTTTATCTATATTACTCCTACCCTGGGTGGTCAGTCGTAGGATGAAATTAAATAGGAGAAGCATCACGGCCTGCAGGATTCACTTCCTAATTCCTTGCCGGGCGGCAGTGACAAAAGTCTTTTGCAAAACGCCCAGGCCCTTGTTCGTCCTGGCCGATTTGATCGTCAGATTCAGGCACTGCTGTGGTGTTGTTGGTTCTTCAGGTCAACAGATTCAGTCTCCTGTAGTCAGAAATAGTAGAAAACATTAGACATTAGAAAACTAAGATTTGCGACTGAGGTTGATCCTCCTGATGTGCAGGGCCGCGTGGAGATCCTCAAGGTGCATGCAAAGGACGCTGCTAATTTGCTAGTAAATGTGTGGAGTGAACCTCAAATAGACGAGTTGGTACCTCTACAGTCCAGGGCTTTTTCCTGTCTACTTGACGGCCATACACTTGCATACACTTCTGCAGCTGGTGAGCACAGAAACCGTGTACATGACGAGTTACTTATTTTCATCCACCACCTACACTTGTGCAAAGACCAGCCCAATGCCAATGCACAATCACAATCAGAAAATGATTGGGGGACAGTTTGCCGAGCGGCCTCTGCGACATTCAAAGCTTGCTCCAAGTGCTCGGCTGTGAGGACAAGAATCTGGCGCCAGGTGTGGACCTCTCTGCCATTGCCCGGCAGACTCCCGGGATGTCAGGAGCGGACCTGGCCAACCTGCTCAATGAAGGCCTGGTCGAACGGCAAGCGCAGCAAACAATGGATTTTTCTTAATCGGAATGTGTATTTGATAAAGACATCAATCATGTGTTTTGGAATAATGCCTACTGTTGAGATGTAATGTAAGTTGCAAGACTTTGTGGAAATAGCTTCTGTTCGAAACAGCGAAACCCAGTTATACTCCTAAACCGTGCCTTCTTGGTCCTTTTGGCCTTTTTGGGCTGTCGCTGCCAGTTGCTGCTAGCAAAAGAACATTCAGGGAAACGTGCACATGATTTGGAACAGGATTGGACAGGCCTTCTTCAAATACTCCTTGATTCTGTTTGATTTGATTTTAGATTATATACAAACGTACATTCAGGTCGGAAACACTTTGCCTTAGTGAGCTTTGAACATGGGGTCTCTGGCAACTTGTCAACTTGTCAGTGCTACATTGTTGAATCTTCTAACTGAAAATTTTTTCTCATCAGTGATGAGTCAAGTGTGAGACTTCCCAAAAAACAACCGCCTGCATTTTGTCTTCCATTTTTCTTCCCTCAAGACCAACATTGCTATGTTGCAAGAGTTGCTCCGGTGCCGGAAGATAAGGAGTAAGAATCAAACAAAAACCCATCGGGCTGACCCTGAGTCATGCTGGAGGCAATCAGGCAGGACCAGGATTTGATGTAACTATCAGGGACATTTGCCTTTCATTTCACAGGTTGGGACCCTGAAGGCTAAGATCTTCTGTTTGAGAGTTGGTTGGGCACACCCAATTCTGTGTCTTCTGCTTGACGGTTGCTGAACATCTTGTGTTTTGTGTGAAGACTATAAGCGGGAGGGACCAGAGACGGAATGTTCTGAATGATTCCTCTTGTTGGACTGCTCCACACCCTTTAGTTCCGGGGAAGAGAGCTTAGAGACTAGCTTAAAGGAGAAGCGTCCACTTTTAGAATGGTCTTGAAGTTTCAAACAGTTTCCAACACTTGGACCAAATAAAGGAAGCTCCGTTTTTGGGGGTCGCTAGTTTCAAGTACTACCTTGTTGTCAGACAGTTTTGGCCGACTAAGCTGTTAGTTATATAGTCTCCTGTGCAAGCAATATCGCCAGGTGCCATTGTTGCGGCCCGACAGAACAAAGCTGAAGCTCAACAGCACAGCGTGAGAAGTTGTCCCCTGATTGTGGATCTCAGATTCAGGCTGTCCAACACAGCTACCAGGGGGCTGAAGGAGGTAGACTAGCGATAGATAGATGGTGGGCTGGGCGAGTTATATAGTTGCATTTTTTCTACGACCCCTATGAGCTGCCTTCGCTAAGTTATGTCAAGTTCCAAGTTTCACATTTCAAACGCAAGGAGATCGACTCGGAGGACATTTTCAACGCGCTCGAGCGCATTGCCATTGGCTTGGAGAAGAAGGACCAACATAGCATGACGCGGTGAGTGCGATGACTCATTTGTTACACCGTACTCTATATGACCTGCAAAGGGGCATGTCGGACATTCACATTTTTGTATATTTTTGTAATGTTGGTAATTTTGGTGTGAAGATTGACCATGTTGAGGCCTACTGTATTTGTTCCATTTTAGAGCAGGCGAGAGCCGGCCTAGACATCGTGTTTGAGTGCTATGTACATGATCCGTCCATGCTTGTCAGGATGCCGTCATGTCTGAGCAGAAGAAGAAGCTGGTCGCCTACCACGAAGCCGGCCATGCTATCTTGGGTGCTTTGATGCGCCATGGCAGAAATGGCCTGGCAGTCTCAGCTTCCGACGTGACAAGGGAGCGAGCAGTTGGACGTGTAGAATCCTGTATACTCACTACACACTTGACTTAACATCCACCCGTAAACGTGCCAGGAAGCCATGAAGTTTGGGCAAAGAGGAACTCATAGAAGTGGTGCAACCGGTCTTTCGATTTTTTTGACCTTCCCTGGGAGAAAAATGCGCATTTGGAAGCCAACGGTCCCTGCAGTCCCCAGGAACGACTACGACATCGTGTCCAAGATCAGTATTGTCCCCCGCGGGCCCGCTGGCGGCGTGACCATTTTCATGCCTTCGGAGGAGCGCCTGAACTCAGGTGGGTGGGCAGAGTGAGACTGTGACCGAGGGTTCCAGTGGCCCTCTGTTACAGGAATCAACTCGATCAATCAACTAGAAACGCTCCAGCAGCCATCTCTCTCTCTCTGTTTTTTGTCTCTCTCTGTCTCTCTGTTGCAATCGCGCTTTTTGAGGATGACCCATTGGTTGGCGTGTCCTCACTTTGACACACCTGCAGACATCTTTGTTTGCCTTACCAAATCCTGTCTCTCCGGCGTTGTGACACTGTGAGGCCTGTACTCCAAGGAGTTCCTGGAGAATCGCATGTGCGTGGCTTTGGGTGGCCGATTGGCCGAGGAGATCATCAATGGGAAGGACAATGTGACCACAGGTGCGAATGACACTAGGGCCACTGGGGATCGGGCGACCGGCCAACTGGATTTTCTTTTTCACATGGACATGGGACTACAGAAAATGGCAAGGCTGAAACACCTACAGAGACCTGTGGCTCCATGCTGTTGACAGACAAACTGCCACCTGCAAGCTTCGCAGTTTTTGTTGTAGTTCCTGTAAGCAGCAAGCTTGCATTCAAAAGGGGACTGGTGGGGAACTAGCTTGAGACCATCAAAGTGGACTGAGCTGGGGCTCCCAGGCCTTGCGAGACGGCCCCTTGTCATTGTGTGGTGTTACGGCAGGATTTCTTCCATTTATTCTTGTTCTTTATACGCCCGTACTACTCAATGAAGTGGGTGGGGTGCCTACTTGATTAGGTAAGGAGGCAAGCTCCTAGGTAGGATGCAGGATAGCTCACGCTTCCTTGAAGAAACACTCACACTATTCATGATTTGGTTCCTAGATTTTCCTGGGAATCATGAGCCATAGGAGGCAGTTTTTTGCGCAAATGACTTGCAGGTGCCTCCAATGACTTCCAGCAGTGCACGCAGGCCGGCCAACAAAGATGCTTGCTGCTGGTTCTGGCTCTTTAAGGATATAACAGGTAGGATGGGTGTACCTCACCCTCACCTTCAGAGTAGCACAGCTACAACAGTAGGTTGGTGGATGCAATGCAGGGGTCCCAAGGGAGTGTTTTTTTTTGGGGGGGTTTTGGGTGTTTATTTTCTTTAGGGATCTAGTTTCTCTATTCTAAGCTCCTCTGACTCCTATGTATATGCAGACAATATACACACATATTTGTATTATGTTTATAGATTTGAATAGATTTGGAAACAGCTATATAGTTACCGGTTGACTGGCTGTTGATCTGAAACATCCTGACAGATGGAGATCATCAGCAAATCTTTGGAGGTTTTGTGATGGAGTTTGAGCCACCCTGCCATATGCACTTTGCCAGGTGGCCAAGCAAATGGTCATGCAGTTGGGCATGTCCCCCGAGATTGGCCAGCGCTTGCTGGGAGGACAGCAGCAGGGAGGTCCCTTCATGGGTCGTCGCTTGGCGATCTTTGGACACATCTGAATCCGTTTCTGCCCTAAACATGAGCCTACCAGTCTACTGATGATATTCCGCTTTTGTTGTGCATTCTTTCTTCTACAAACTACAGATTTACCGTAATTGGATGTACCAGAAGATAAGACTCAGAAAGCCGGAGGCTTTTCGTCGATGCTCCAAGGCGACTTCATGGGCCAAGGAGCTCCTCCCATCTCCCAGGCACGGGCCAACAGAATATCCAGAGAAAAAGCTACATACACGTGCACTTTGCATGCACGAAAGCGGAGATTCAAAGATGTAATTCTCCAGCTTCGAGGATCCTAGAAAGGACTCCTAATCAACAAGTTCAGCTGCAGCACCTATTCTATGTCAGCTGGTCCAGAGAACCGATTGTCCATCAAGAGTACGGCTGCCGTTCTTGTTCTGATGCATTGCTTTGTTTTTCAATATGCGAAGTTTACTTTTTTTGTGTGTGTTTCAAAACAGGGGGAACCCTCACCAACCGAGGCCTCTCAGGCCGGGTTTCGACACTCGCCACTCGACACGTCGAGGCTCTGAAGCAGAAGGTGGACGACGAGGTGAAGCGCATCGTGGATGAACAGTACCAACGCGGAATGAAGTTGTTGCGAGTGTCTTGACTCGCACGGTGGATCGATTTTTGCGTTCAAGACGATGGTTGACTGGTGGATGTGGCTTTGGGTTGACCCTGGAGACGATAGAATGCCTCACAAAATAGAGGCTGTGTACAGGTGACACATTTGGCAATGGTTGACTTTGAGCGGCGACCATGATTTGGGTGGTGATGTGTTGAGGACAACATGTTCCTCTTGGACGAACTCGCGAAAATGCTCATGGAGGAAGAGAAAGTCTCAGGTGGGCTGAGAAGAGAAAGCATCGAATCAGCGGTTCATATACATGTGGAACCCATCAATCAGCAGGATTACTGAAGGACAGCCCTCTACAAGCCAGTTTGTCAAGTGGGGTTGTGAGTTTTTGATGGTGTTCCGTGATGTCAGTGCTGTAGGTTTGAGACAGGGCCTAGGGATGCTTGTTTTGAGGTGATGCACTCTTGAAGTTGATCAACAAGGCTGCAGCAGAAGGCAAGATGGTGTACGGTGAACTAGTCAATGTTCGGTAGCATTTTTTAACACAGACTTGAAAGCCACCTGTAAGGCCTAAGCCTAAGCTCTTGCAGGCTCAAGGGCATTGAAGTGAGTGAATCCTAGTGAAAGACCACAGGTAAGCTGGTGATGGCTAACAGCAAGATGGCAGTTGCTGCCTACGCGGGTGAGGTGGTCCGACTCCCAGCCTCTCTTTGAACCGCGCAGCTTTTGAGAGTTGCTGGTGCATTTGCATTGAGGTTGAGACCACTGCTGACGGCACTCTCAACGCCAAGAGCAAGTGTGTGCATTTCGGCCAGAGTTTCAGATTGATCTCCCGACCCGAGATCAGGCCACTTTCGGACTGAACCGTTTTTGTGAGGGATGGGCTTAACATTGGCTTTCCTGACCATTCGAGGCACCCTGACAAGCCCATGATGTTCGCTTGCGCCGACTGCCCTCGCCGTGGCTTCGCCGGCTCATGCGCACCAACGGGCCGCAAGGGCGTGTCGCGGGGTGCTGTGGCGCGGCTGGGGCTGTCAACGGAGGCAGCGGAGCGCGGCAGCCAAGAGGCTTGCACCAGTGAAGAGGTGATCCGTAGAGTGGAGGCGAGGATGGGAGATGACGGGAGGATGGTGAAGAAGAATCCAAATCAAGAAAGCTGATGACATGGGCAATGTGGAGGCCCCAAGCCGCCCCATTTTCCCAGGAGATGGCCGCAGATGTCTCAAACGGCTCCGCTTTGCCAAGCCATGTGGTGAACTCTGCAGCTTCCCAGGCAGGGCGGCAACCAGCCATGATGCCCAGCGCAGCCCTGATGGGTCCAGCGGAGTTTTTCTCGCGAGTTTTACAGATCTGTGGACTCTGGACCCCATTAGTATGGCCAGGGAACCCTAGTAGCTTCTTGCTCCTAGTAATGGATCAACATTGAACACGGTCATTCAGCAGGATTTGTAGGGCCCTGTGGATGCCTGTGGATGAAACTCGGGAGGCTTTGGTCGCTCTGGCTGCAATGGCTGCTCCACTGCCGGCATTGGCTGGGGACCGAACACCCTGGCTGGACTTGTGCACTTGATCGTTTGTTATGAAATACTTCCATTGAAGGACTTGGTGTTGGCTCTAATATGGTCTACTGTAATATGCTTCTAATATGTTTCATCTATATATAAGGTTGCAAGACACTTTGGCAGCTAATGATTTCAACACTATGTAGCAATTGTATATCTATCTATCTATCTATCTATCTATCTATCTATCTATCTATCTATATAAATCTAACTTCAATGGACTTCAGGGACCATGTGTTCCGAATCTCATGTGTTCTGAATTCCATGGTGAGACTAGAGCATATCATGAGATGCTTTCGCAAGCCGGATTGGTGAGGTAGATTGAACGCGATTGCACATCATAATATGGACATGGAATGATCTGTAGGTATCATTTGTCCAGGCTGTCAATGCAGGTGATGCTTGGCTCATTTGCTTAAGTTGCTAGCTCTTGGAGTCCTCCAAGGAGGATGTGAAGCAACTGCGCGAGGCGGTGCCAAGCGATGGCTGCTGGCTTGAAACCACATGGCTATCTGAGTTTTGCCAAAGCCTCTTTTCCGACTTGGGAAGATATTTCTGCCAAAGCCAGGAGAACTGGCCGGACAAATGCTATCTTGAGGCACTTTGTCTTGCAAGTGTTGCTTGTGCTCTGAAGCGCGGCAACAAAATGCGTGTAGCCACCACCCACTAAACAGCGTCACAGGTTTGGTGAAGGAGGTATTTGCAGATTTGGGTGATGCTGGTGGATGGAATGAGCCATCTTCTGCACAAGTAAGACAGCTTTTGCCAGCTGGCTCGAGGCAGATCAGGCAGCTCCAGTGCTCACTTCGCAAACGCCTTCAAGCAAGAGCTTCCAGAAAGAGGAGGCCCCTTTTGTTGTTCTCTATGGTGCATATCACTTCGCCCTCTCCATGACCAACTGCCAGACTGATATCACAGACCAGCAAGGCAGCACGGAGCTGCTCGCCTCTGACGGATGTGCACCACTCCTCCACGCTCACGCTGAGGCTGCGTCCAGACTGCACCTCTAGAATCTTCGCATCCAAGGCAATCCACAAATGCCGGAAATGCACAGGGAGGATCCCTTGTGTTTTTCCCGGTGGAACTCTCCATTCTTCTGAAACCTTTCTTCCGCAACTATTTGGTACTCTTCCGCAACTATATACTCTTCAGAAACTATTTCGCGATCTTCAGAAACCATTTCGCGATCTTCAGAAACTTATTTGGACGCTTTAGAGAGTATTCTTCAGAACTTTTACAATTTTGTAACCAAATTGCATGAAGGAGCACTGGGTGGGTGGGTGGGTGGATGGGTGGGTTATGTACCCTGTGACGGCTACGGTATACACATGCCTATTTTGCGATCTGCAATTTTCGTGCAGGTTTGATGTTGCTCTTTGACTCTTCGTAGTTTCCGAACATTAGTTTCTGACACTGAAGAAATCCGTAGAGTTTCCGAAGATTAGTTTCTGAAGAATAGTTTCCGAAGAACACCTTAAAGTTTCCGAAGCTCACTTTTGAGTTGCCGAAGATTAGTTTCCGCAGAACAGTTTCCGAAGAATACCGTAAAGTTTCAAACTGTGTAGTTTCCGAAGATTAGTTTTCGAAGAACACCGTAAAGTTTCCGAGGTCGTAAGCTACCAGAAACTTGGTTGGAACTGCATTCAACATATTCAAAGTTGAAGAGAACAACACTTGCCTCTGTTCCCACGCATGCAGTCTAACAAGCCCATCAAAGTCTGGCTTGGCAGTCTCGCAGTCACTACGTTTCAAAGAGTCAATCCTGATCGGCTTGAACATCCAATCGCTGTGAGATATGCGTTGCTGTGCAAACGGGCCATGGATTGTCGTCCGCCTTGACAGAAGAGCAAATATGCTGGAGATTATTTTGCCAGCGTACCACCACTGACGGAGCTGACTTGGTGTTGATGTGAAGCCCAACTTCACATCACCATGTCAGCTCCAGAATACTTAATTAGGGAGGTTGGCAGAGTCTTTTGGCGTATCTGACGAGATTCTTAGACGTGGACAGCTTACACAGACAAACACTATTCACTATACTCACTTCGCAGTGCTGCGGTAGTAGCACGAAAGAGCTGAATCTAGAGCGACAGATCAACATTGTAAATTCAAGGCGTGACTTGTAGTCTTTTCATGTAACCCGCATTAGTTGCCCTGAGGCCGATGATGTGCCTCCATTGCAAGCGATGAATGCCCCGCAGATGCAGCAACAGCAGCAGCAGCCCGGATCCCCCTTGCGCGTGAGTGGTGCCTTGCTTGCAGCGAAGGATTGGTTGATCAACCTTTATAGGACACTTAGGACACCGGAGGACACCCGCACTTCGTGCTAGTATATTGGGGATGGGCATTTTTTTTAAGGTTTTTGTTTTTCAAAGTATCAGTTTTTTGTCGCTTTGTTTCTTTTGCTTTTGTTGCTTTTGCGCTTTTGGTGTTTGCCTTTGCTTTTATTTGTTTGTTTGTTTTTTTTGTTTTTCTGTTTTTGTTACTATTGTTGCTTTTATTATCCGTTCTGGTTGGTTGCTCCAGGGGGCAGGCGCTGGGCCGTCCCCCCCAACCACCCTTCACCGCACCAACAACTTAGATATGTACAAAATCTGTGCTATGCCTTCTCAAGCTGACCCGTCATTGCTCCCTATTGTGCTTCCTTTGCTGCAGCTAGGCTGGCATCCAAAGCAAGCCTGTCCTTTACAACTTCTTAAGGCTCCCAGACTTTTTTTCAGCGGGGCTGCTTAAGGATGCTGTGCCTGCCATGAAGACAGGAACAGTTACCGTACAGATCTTCACGTGCACTCTCTACTTCTGCACTCTGGATCAAATTTAGTGGAGGAAAGAGCCACTCCAACGTGGCATACCTTTGGTGGGCGAACTGAGGGCAACATTTGGATCAGGAAGAGGAATGATTCCGAGGGAAAATTAGAGGAGGAGCATAGCTTTTGTCAGCCAACCGAGGGTACAGTTTAGGAGCAAGGAACCATTCTAACGTAGCTTACCTTTAGTGAGCCAGTTGAGGGTAAAATTTGGAGGAGGCCCCCGACTGCTGTCATCAGCTGCCAGGAGGTATGTCCAAAGGATTGTAAACAGGAAATCCGGTAAACATTACACATGACCAAATTAAAATCGCACCCGTTCATTGGGCTCAAGGAGTAGGCCACCGAATTCCATTTTGAGGCCGAGTCACCTACTCCCGCTTGTTGGAGTTCGTCGAAGAGGAGCAGAGTTGGCACCAACTGAGACTTCTGGGTACATCTGGGTACTAGGATGTACTAGGTAGAGATGACTTTGATGGAGAATGCAGCGCTTGATTCCGACTTCGTATCATCACAGGAGACCAACATGAAAGCTACAGATCTTCATAGAATCCTTTGGACTTGTGAAATCAAGTGAAGTGGGAAGGATCAGATTTCCGCAGCTCGTTTTGATCCTCTTCAGCTCCTCTGCAACTTGCCAGGGCTCCGTGAAGCGCGTGGACTTCTATGACCAAGGCCGCACAGCGGTGGCCTTGGTGATGATCGCAGGACGAGAGCAGCAGCTGGTGTGCGACCTGCCAGGAGAGATAGCTCGTGGGCGAATGTGGGAGCGAGGGCGATCTCCCCCAATGTCCGTGATGTGAAGCTTGATGCTGGAGGAATGCAACAATTCTCCATCAACCAGCCAGCGAGAGGGCTTTTGACACAGCTAGATTGTTTGTTTATTTTTTTACTTTTTTTTTCTAATAAGGATGGGAAATGCTGAAGTCACTGCGTGAAGGAGCTACCACCGGATTGATCGAGAAGCTCGTGTCCAAGAACATCATGATTGAGGCAATTGACGGAAGCATGTCGGAGGGCCTTGCTTTTTGCCCATCGCACTGTTCCTGCGATTCACAGACTACGACGACTACTATACTACTACTACTACTACTGCTACTGCTACTGCTACTGCTACTGCTGCTGCCACTACCACTACCACTACCACTACGACTACGACTACGACTACGACTACTACTACTACTACTACTACTACTGAACACCTTGTCACTTGTCTCTGATTTCCGCAAATTCTTTCAGATCAGGACACCAGCTGATCAGACACGGCCCACTCCCACCAAGAATTTGTTGCGATGTCGATTGTTATATATTTCCAATTGCCATCTATGGACAACACACGCGCGCACACACACACACTCTCTCTCTCTCGAACGTCACTGTTAAGCGGGTGAAAAACAATGAACAACACCACCTGAAACGGAGCTGTTGTGAGCTGCAGGTGCATCAACCGGACAAGCCCAACCCACTGCTGGGAGTGCTGGGAGATGTGGCCTTTCCATTGCTGGTCATCGCTGGTTTGCTTTTCCTGCGCTCCAGAGCACCGGGAGGTGGAGGAATCCCAGGCTGGGTGATGAGTCGGTGGCATCACCAGTGGGAAGTGTTTTCTTTTAAATCGGCAAACTGCCATTGGTTGGAAAGGGTTCGGTTGAGATCTGTTTCTTGACGGCAGGCTTCGGCAACCAGGGCCGTGCGAAGATCATGATCACCCCCGAGACTGGAGTGAAGTTCGAAAATGTGGCCGGCATCGACGAGGCCGGCGTGGTCGAGTTCCCTTTAGCAACATTGTCGACATTGGATCAAGTACCGCCCCCAATGCACACCGTCTACCAGGTTCTTGAACCGCAATGATGTGAGCAAAGTCCCGTGAATCTCTTGAAACCCGAGGAAGTTGGACCGCATTCAGAGGTGGATTACTTAAGACTCAAGACTTAAGAGATCTTAACGCTTGATCCATCTAAATCCTATGCTGACGTGATAGCACCCCATGCGGTTTCGGAAGGTCGGCAGATCAGTGTAGGTGCTCAATGACTTGTGCCGTGAGCTATAGATCCTGGAAACTTGGAAGGTCCACCCAGCTTTGAACACTGGGATTCATACATCTCCCTTCGCATCAATGGTCCCATGCATCTCCTGAAACGCAGGCGAAGGAGGAGCTAATGGAGATCGTTGACTTCTTGAAGGCGGGGTCGGAGAGGTCCCACCGTGTTCGAAGTTTTTATTTTGCGGTTGGGAAGGGCGGAACATGGTGGAACTATACAACAATTCTGTGACATCAATCCTAATGTATATTCCCTCTGTGGGTAGATTCCTTGGGCCACAGCTTTTTCTCAATGTGGAGACCAGCAGAGATTGGATGGAATTCTCATTGTTTTTGTTTTGATAGGGGACACCATTTTGAGTGTTTATAATTTTGGCAAATATTCGCCTGATGTCTGTCGGAGACATGTTCGTCAGGCAAAAGCGTGGCCAGCCTTCAAGCCCAGATCTCCATGACAGCACAACCATCCAAGTCTTCCAACGATCAGCTAGAGCAGCTGAGCTGCTAGTGTTTTTGACCAACTTCGGTGGGCCACCCAATCCAGCTGGGCTGCTCCACGCTCAGGCGCCGGAGCGCTTCGTCAAGGTCGGTGCGAAGATCCCTCGTGGCGTGCTGCTCACGGGGCCTCCGGGCACCGGAAAGACCTTGATGGCCAAAGCGTTGCTTGGATCGGTCAATGGTGCTGTTTTGTTTGGGTGCCAGCACGGATCTGAAGAGATGGGAAGAGAAGAATTGAGATCAGCTGGCAATGACCCTGAGGAAGCCTCTTTTCCACGGGGGGTCCCATGGATCACAGAAACGTCTTCTGTGTGACGGCTTGGGACCGACAAGGTTCGACTGAGGCAAAAGTAGCATAGACCATTCTTCCTTTTCTTTTTTCTTTGTTTCTACTAGCGACCTCCAACCTACTAGCGATGGCCTCCAACCGAAAATGTTCTCAGCTAAGTAAACTCTGGATTCGGAGAGCAGCCAAGACCGTGTGGCTCACAGGGCTTGACATGGTGCAGGATGTTGGTCAGAAGGTTGATGCCCCTGATGGAAGAACAGTGTCTCAACCAGGATCACCACCCCTCGGCGTGGGGTTTTCATGAAGCAGTCCTATTTTATCATATTTTTCCGTCCCTCTTCCAACACGTGCCTGTTTTTCCGGTCGCCAGGATAGCTTTCCCACCAGATCCTGTCAGCCCTGATGGGCAGGTTAGCGCTTCTTTTCAAACCCAAATCTTTTGTTATACATTCTTTTTATTCGATCACAACCAAACCTTTCACCGAAAGGGAACTGCCGTCTCCAAGGTTGGCAGGCGAGTCTGGTGTGCCTTTCATCCAGTCGGGGCTCTCAATTCCCTCTTCCAGTCGTCTTAAGAAGACGCCGCGGAAGTTGGGAACTTGTTCGAACGAGTGAACGGAATAGTCGGAAGAGTGAAGGGAACTTGTCATAGCCGCCCCTGATCCAATTCACGAAAGCTAGCTTAAGTAGGCCAATGGGGCAGGGACTCTTCGTGTGTGCAAGGGCACCTGTTCTCCAGATGTTCTTCTTGGAGTCAGGTCTTCTGCCTCCGAGTTCATCGAGCTCTTTGTCGGTGTTGGTGCTTCCCGCGTGCGTGATATCTTCAAGCAAGCCAAGGAGAAGGCGTGAGAAGTCACCGGCCAACTCCTTGCGTGAAGGGCTTCTCAACAACTGGGAATTGGCACTTTTTGGGCAACAAAGACAGAATACTATGGGAAGAAATCGCCTCTTAAGATCTATCGAGTATGGTCAGGTGTTAAAGGTTGATGAGCCCTAGAAGGGTATTTAATTCTTGACGATTGCTAGCATCTATTTCATAGGTTTATACTGCCCTCGTCGTGACTGGATAAACTTGAGTGGGGGTAGTGGGGGTGCCCGCATTCAGGGTCGCCTGTCTTCATGTCAGAGTAGTCCAAAGTTGTCCAGGCGCCTTGCATCGTTTTCATTGATGAGATTGATGCCATTGGCCGTCAGCGAGGTGGAGCGGGCTGAGTGGGGGGATCTGTGAGCAGCCTGCGCCGCCTGCGCATAAATGAGACCCTCCCAAAGGCTCCGCACATTTTGCTGGCAAACAATTGCCGTTAACGGTCCATATATTTCATTGAGACGCCGCCGCATGGATATGAGTGGGAGCAAGGGCACCCCTCAACCTGTTTCAGAACTTTCTGTTTAGAATAAACATCTTATTAATAACACCAGCTCTTTGGTAGAATCTAGCTGACAGGTGCAGGAATGGGAGGAGGCAACGATGAGCGTGAGCAGACCCTCAACCAGATCTTGACAGAATCTTGGCATTTTAGTGGTCCTGGCAACATTTTAGTGGTCCTGGCATTTTCCTCACTTTAGTAGTCAACAGGACTGGTCAGTTTTTGTGGGTTCCTTTCATTTTTTGTCCTTCACCTCCAAGCAGCATGGGAAGATTCTGTTTACGAAGCAGCAGGCGTGTGAGGTTCCGCTACCACTACCTTGTCGGCTGGACGATGCGCCGACGAAAGCGTCTGATGCGGTGAAACTGGTGAAACGGGTGCATTCTAATCTGTGAGGATGCGCCGTTGCAAGGCCTCAGAACAACGAGACAACAACATTCATTCATCTCAAAATGGTGGAAGATATATTAATATGAAGACATGGACCTTTTGGGTGGCTAAAGAATATTGACTGTTGAAGACCAATCTCCTTCCAGAGAGCTGCCTCGTGGCGGTATCCTCGTGGGAAGCAGGGTAGCATGTAGCAGTCCTTTTCGTCGTTGGGAGACCAGCTGACCAAGGAGATGGATGGCTTCGAAGGTGCGGCATGGGGAAGCCCAATCCATTCTTGTGGACAGCCCTGAGAGAGCCCTGAAAATACAGAAGCCACCTAGGCTATCCTAGGCTCCCTGACCGGGATTATCCAATTTGAAGCTGTCAGCAGCTCATCTCTGGAGGCAACAGCGGTGTCATCGTGGTTGCAGCCACCAACAGATCTGACATCCTCGACAACGCCCTGCTTCGCCCAGGAGCGGTTCACCAAACTTTTGTAGATCGCGCCAACTCAGTTGCCTTCCGTCTACTCAATCAGCTGCCTTTGAGGATCAACTGCTCCACAAGCTTTCATGTCAACTTGCCAACATTTTTGAGAATTCCTTTAGTTCCCCCAAAAGATTCACTCAAGGGTTCTTTAAAAGGAAATCCGACATCATGTCAAATCACCAAATCCAACAATCCGCAAACTATATATATATACTATTATATATATATACATATACACACTATACATATCTACTTGGTTCATTAAGGTTCCGTTCTGTTTGATCTATCATCTGAGATCTGGGTCGCGACACAGCCCAACTATGTGCCTCACGCGACACAACCAGGACGTTTCGACCGCCGCGTGGCGGTGGGCTTGCCCGATGTGAAGGGCCGCGAGCAGATCCTGGAGGTGCACATCCGCTTCTTGGCCGAAGACGGCCGCAGATGGACACTGGCTTGCTTGCTTTTCCCCAAAAAGAGACTGAGAGACTGATCGGTGGGCATTATGGTTTCTTCATGTTTCTTCCAAAGCTTTCAAAAGCAGAGGGATGGGGCTCGAAACTCAGTCCCATGGTCTACGCGAGTGCAGTCATGGACTTTTCTGAATCTTGGCCCTTGGCGGCTTTTTACATTGGACAAGAATCTAGATACCACAGTGTTTAGCTTGATCCTGCTCGATGTCTTCTTCATTCTGGGTGCGTGATGCTCGTTGAGTCAAACCACAAAACACATCAAAACACCTCTTTGCCATTCTGCTCGAACCTGGGTGCTGCGGGAGTTGCTGCAGGCAACAAGAAGTTGGAGGAGAACATCACCCTCACGGAGATTGCTCAACGCACCGCCGGCTTCAGCGGTGCTGACTTGGAGAATCTCATGAACGAGCTCCTCACCTTAAAGAAAAGGGGTGAAAGCTTCGTCTTAACTTGCTGGTAACCCTTTTGCATCCGTTTACTATCTTTTACTTCAGGCCAGGTGAGAGCTTCGGTGGTTTTATGATTCACTCTTTGAAGATGCCTTTGGCTAAGATGCTTCTATAGGAGACGAATCAACCCCAAAAACTTGCTGCGACTTTCTTGCAAGCACGCTTGCACTCGGTTGCAAAATGCCAAGCAAGCCATCGGTGCGCGCACTGCTCTAGGAACTTCCAATGAGGGCAAGCAACCTGCTAAGGTCAGCGATTTTGGCCGCTCGCCGCAACAAGAAAGCCATCTCTATGGCCGAGATCAACGATGCTACTGACCGAGTGATCGCAGGCACGGGGACTGCACAGACTGACGGCTGTGAGCTGCAGCGCCGAGGGTGTGGCCATGGCTTCTGGGTGAGGGAATTGAGTGCTGTACCCTGATGAATCATGTACAGAAAGTGGAGAGGTGTGGTGGAAGAGAAACAGATCCCCAGGAAATCGAGCACTCTCCAGGTGCAGTGGTCTCTTGTCTGCTTGGTCTTTGATCTGGACGCTTGCGTACCTTTGTTGCCCATTCCCCCATCCAAAAGGCCTGAAGGAGAGCGGGTTAGGCCCCATGTTGAAACATACAGTCGCTCGTCCAGGCTTGGAGGGACGTGCTCTGGCCGACAATTCCTCCAAGAAGCTCATCGCCTACCACGAAGCAGGCCTACCGCGTTGGTCGGGAACCTGTGGAAGACTCTCTTGGTAGTAGATGTAGTAGGGGAGATTGGCGGAAAGCAGATGGTCCAGCTCCGAGAGCGAAGGGACTAGATGGCTAGATGATAACATTCACAGTACTGAGTTGGCTTCCAAAACTGCACATGAAAGACTGTTCAACCATGTCCAACCCATTTGCCTGATTTTGCCTGGAAACTAACATGAAACCATCGATCCAAACGTTCGCACGTAGCTGGCTTTGCGTTGGAGGCCATGCCATCGTTGGAACGCTCTTGCCGTACCATGATGCCGTCAACAAGGTGCCATCCTCTAAGTTGTACCATGTAACCACTATTGGAAGACCTTGAGGTAGCTTCCCCTGAAGCCCCGATTCCAAAAGAGCGCAGGGGGTCCAACTCTCTGCTTGCGTATCCATTTCATGGAGGTAGTCTTATATAAGTTTGAATTACATGAAAAGTATTGAAAAGTAACTACGAACAGCAACTATTTGACAACCATGGATGCTAACTGGTAGCCATTCCTACTATGGCCACGGGAACTCCATGGATTGGGTGTCCACTTGTTGATTTTAATGTGCGTGGTTGGCATTTGTTTGCCATACTTGTTTGATGGACATGGCTCGTGCAAGAAACACCCCGATGTTGATGGGAGAACGACTCCAATACTCTGCGTTGCGTCCATGCTGTTGAAGGAAGACTTCCTGAACCGCCTGAGATGTGTGTTGTTTCAACAGTAGTTTCTATCCCCAACCAAATTCTATGGCAATCCTGTGGCTGGCAGGTGACAGTGATCCCTCGCGGGCAAGCGAAGGGCCTCACCTGGTTCACGCCAGGGGAGGACTGGACAGCCTCGATGAGTCAAGCTTCAAACACTTCGGAGGTTTCGAGAACTCCTTGTTGGGAACCTTGGCTCGCGTGAATTTGGAAAGATCATGATTCATGATAATGATTTCCCTTGGGGTGTAGTTCATGACATCAGCAGGGGCAACGGTCAACGTTTTCTTTTTTTCACTGGGGTGCCCCGAAGTTTGCAGGACCAGAGCCTCATCTCTGCTGCCATGCTGAAGGCACAGCCGTGAAGCTAGGGAGGTAGGATCACGTGACGGGATTGGATCACCCCAGGCCCTGGCATCTTGGGATTTGATTGAATAGAGAGCAATCATATACTGTATTTGTATATATATATAAGTATAGATTGCAGGGATTGTCCTTCGCGCAGATAGCATGGCACAAGCATAAACTGATCTAGCTCTGCAAAGTAACCGTGCTTGATTTCGAAAAGTGTCCAACACGACGCGTGTTATTTGGTACTTGTATTTGTAATCTCTTTTCGTTGCAAAGTAACCGTTCTCGATCCGTCTCTTCGAGAGGCTCGGATCGCTGGAGCCTTGGGCGGCCGCGCGGCCGAGCAGTTGGTCTTCGGCACCAACCAGGTGACCACAGGCGCGCGGGGGTAGAGGACGCTACTAGGAGCAAAGGGCATCGCTACTAGGAACAAGGATGCTACTAGGGGCTCCTGGCCTTACTACTAGGAACAAGAAGAAACAAGAACGGAGTTGAACGGAGGCCGAGACGAAGGGAGTGCTGAAGATCCAAGGGCAACGATCTGTGAGGGTCGATTTGTTCAGGCTCTGCGTAGGTGATGGTAGGTGTAGTCATGAATGGAGTCAACAAAGTAGAACATCAGTTGTTAGTTATTCAGTTTCCAGTTTGAGTGTCAGCGTGCCTACAACTGGGATTTGCTCAGACGCTGAAGCCCTCACGGACGGCTTTGCCAGCTTCGATTGATGTTTGGTTTAAAGTTCAATCGCAAGACTTTTGTGCACCACAATATGGAACAGGGCCTGGCCCTATGTACCTTTATCATCCTTTATCCACATTTGGAAGGTGTATTTATGGTCTTACCGTTTTAGAGGTAGGTCAGAAGCAATTGAACTAGAACTCTGCAGCTTTTCATTCCCTAACACCAATGGATTCTGTTGGCAGCCAGCGTTTGGCCAGGCGCTGGTGGTGATTTGCAACAGGTGGAGCGCATGGCTCGTGCGATGGTCACGCAGTTCGGCATGTCCGACGTTGGTGCCTGGCCCTGAACTGTTTGGTGGGATGCGTCAAGGAAGCTCCCCCCCCGCCCTCAGGCGGGGGAGCTTCCTTGAAGAAGCATGAGCTATCCTGCGTCCTAACTAGGAGCGAACTTCGCCTAGTAGCTTACTAGTCCTCCTTACTTAACTAAGTAGGCGCCTACTTAATTCAGGAGGCAGGGCCTCGGGCTAAAGAAAGAAACATACTATTGTTTTTTGAACCTTAAAACTCTTGGTTAGAAGATGTTAGAAGATGGTTCAACTCCCCGAAGATTGAAGAAGACAGAGCGGCCCACCTTGACCCACACCACGGATTCTTCTTCGGTCTGAGCGTGGGTGCGGGGTGGTCCAGTCGTCCGTGTGCAGGTTCCATTGCCATCGACGATGGAGGCTTTATGGGGCCTAACTATTCAGAGGATTTGAACCAAAAGATCGACAAGGCGATCAAGGCCCAGTCTGGGGTACTCTGGTGGTGCTACAGAAAAGGGTGGGGAGAGCTAGAGAATGTGGGGGACATCGGTCAGTGGCACTTTTGATGCCCTTTGTTCCTAGTAGCTTAGTAGCTTCTTGTTCCTATAGTAGTAAGGCCAGGAGCTTCTTGCTCCTAGTAGCGATGCCCTTTGCTACCAGTCGTGAGGATAGGGTACTGGTCTCGGGAGTCACACTTCGAGCAAGTCTGGTGGAGCAAGTCATGGACAGGACATCTCCGATGAATGCTACCTGAACGCGCAGGAGCCTTAGTCACAAGCCACAGCAGCCTGAAGTGATGCGGTCATGTTGCTTCGTTATTTATTTGGGTCTTCCCAGAAACGACGAGCCGAGCAACCGAACATGGGCACATGCGGTGCTGCAGGTTTGTACGGCAAGCAGAAATGGTATGTTGAGATCGAAGTATCCAAACACAACAAGAAATCGAGCGAAATGGACAAACTGTACATTTTGCACCCAAAAGTGCAAATCCATCCACTCGTAGGATGATCTTCATGTAGACTCTTCGTATATATAAACCCTGTCAGCCTCTTGATGGGCCTAGGTTGACGATCCTGAATAACAATCGCGCCTGCCTTGACCGTGTGGCAGATGAGCTCTGTGAGAATGAGACTATCTCAGGAGCAGCGAAGGTTCTGTGCTATCCCGGCACCCCTGCAGTTGACAACAGAAGGGGTTTATCATGTTTCGGGCCGGGTGCGTTTGTTTGATGATTTTAGCACATCCACTCACTGGTTGGTGAAGGGACACTCATTTTATGCCACAGCCCCATGCCGCCATGGAAACTTCAAAGCATGGCAAAACACCTAGTGGTTTTGTTCTCTGAATATCCCCTCTCTAAGAACTGTTCGGTTGTGTTTGTGAACAAACACTGGACGGGATGAGATGTGAGTCCCCCCGTCCAGCGTTTGAAGACTCAGATGTAGGATCCGGGTTCCAGCCCTTTCAGGAGACCGCCTCCGTGAGCTCGTGGCCCAGTACACCGAGGTCCCTGAGAAGCTGGCGGCGGTGTGAGACGAGCCTCACGAGACATAGTGAGACGTCTACGTCTGAAGGGGCCCCGATTTGATGAGTTTTGCTTCAGATGTGAGTTGAGCGTTATTTAAGAGCTTCACATGCTTCCAGGCTTGGCTTTTCTGGGCTTAAATGCCTCCAGGCCTCGTATTTCAAGGCATTTGAAGTGATTTTCCGGGTGAGTGCAGTGGATTCATAGGGACAGCCTGAATCAGAATCAGAACTTCTGCAACTTCCTTCTGACTGGTGTCCACTGCAAGACTTTCCTGCCCAGGTGTGCTCATTGCGAGCACTCGCCACAGAGCCCAGGTGGGGATGTTGCCCCCAAGCGAGGGTGAAACCATCCAATTGAATGAGTCAAGGATCTGTGCAGTTCATGACTCCAAAGACTCGGTGAGATTCAGGTGCTGGTGCTCGTACCAACTTTTTCACAATCTGTCACATTATATTTGCAAGCATATAGTATAGTCATGCAGCCATGCATGTACATCTGTATTGCGAATCTACCTGTCCATACATCTCTTTGCCAAAGGTTCCACCAAATGCCCATGCAAAACCCTGTCTGTGATGACCTTCGTCTGCTGCGCCTCCTGCGTTCCTTGAGCCAATCGTTTGATTGGCGAGTGGCTGAACTGACCGACGACTGAGGAATCCGGATTGTGACTGCTTGGATAATCTGGTCCTTCATTCAGGCACATTCGCACTCCCCAAACAAGAAAGACAGTTTTTTGTTGGAGTAAGCAGTCATAATTCCTTCTTCGTCTCCTTTGTTTCAACCTTTTCAACCTGCCCAGCTTGGAAGCACAAACGGTATGCCCCAGTTCTCAACGAGTCCACTATTCTCGCTTGGCTGCAAATCCATCTCACACTTTCTAAAACACATTCAAGTGTTATCCTGTATTCTGTACATTGATGAGGGTTGACTTTGGTACGTAGCAACATCGTAGACACTCTTGCAGGCTGTTGCCACGCATGCCAAAGGAGCAGCTTTCCAAATTGCAGAAATATTCGTCCAATCTACTATTGACGGATTCTTCATCCATTCCCACACCACATTGTATATGATATCAATACATAACAGTATATAAGATGCCTCTTGAAAGAAATAAGGAAGGCACTGCCTTCGCTATTGATCGTGTACCCTGTTGCAAGATGTTGTATATATTGGATGGCTTTAAAGCAACAGTCGGACCACATTTTGCTCGTACCGGAGCTCCCCACTGGCGTTGCATGAGAGCACCTAACTACACATCGTTGCGTGTTTTATTCCATTGCGTTCACTTGACAATGCCTTGATGATTTCACCTCGTATGGAAGAATTTTCGGCAGAGTTGCGATTGTACAGGGATGCGAACCTGAAGGCAATGTGGCCATCCCCGAAGTCAGACAATTCCTCAGAGATTGTTCATTCTCTTTCAAACTTCTGTCATGGCCACGACCAAATGCCACCAGCACTCTGCCCCAAACCCCGGTTCACTCAGCGATCGGGAATTCAGTCCGCCACCCTGCAGCTGCGCTGTAGTGGCATACATTTGATTTCTTTTCGGTAGAGAAAGTTCGATGCGTTGGAGAGTTGACAGGAGTTCACCAAGAGTCATTGTGTTGTGGGATTGGCGGATCACTGGACAGATTCTTTGTTGGGTTCCACTCAAGCAGATAGACAAGACTAGACAAGTCTAGGAGGGATTTTTCACGTCACATTGAGAACTGGGTTTTTGGGGATGATCAATGTGAGTCCTGGACGATGGTGATACTGATGCAGCCTCCGTCAAGGAGCATTCAGACAAGCAAAGATTCTTGGGAAGACTGCAAATTCAAGGTCAGTGATTCCTTGTAACAGCCAAATTCAGAAGATGTTGGATGTTGGATCTCCCATTTTCCGCCCTCCCAGAAAGAACAAAACATGCAGAATGACATGTATATACAAACTTTTCATAGTTGAGAATGTGTTTCTTTTCTCTTATTTTGCGTTCTAATTATATATTTATTGCGTTCTGTATAGTTTTCCATCCATTTACCAGTTTGTTTCGTGTCCCCCGCAGGTGGCCGCTGAGGAGCGCCCTGAGACGGCACGGCTTCAGGCGGCGCTCTGGCGGCACTTGGATCCCAACAAGGACCCGGCGGCTGGGGGTGGGAACGTGTCTATATTGTCTTTGGACACAACGCCAGTATTCAGGTGGTTTTCAGTGGTTTGCAGTTAGCAGGTCGCCTGACCACCAAGTGTTCAGATTAAATGGACAATGTGTCACTAGCACCCCACGAGGATACGGGTTGGTTACTGGTGTGGGAAGCAGCAACTTGTGCTGTCGGAGCCGGCCTGTCTCGGTCTGTCTCCCGGGCTGCATAACCGGCATCGCGAACGTTTACTTCCGAAACCACACAGTTTTTATCCATCTTCGAAAAACCAAAAAAACTTTCAAAAACACACCACTTCCCAAAAATGAAAGGCCTCCCCCCCTAGCTAAAGCTTATTGTATAAGCGGACTAATCCAGCAGCTATCTTGCGGCTTGCGGCTTGCGCGAAGCCTACACAACGCCTCAGCACCTTCGGTGCGGGCGGATTTTCATTTTGGGGGTGTCATCTTCCGTGGAATTTTGGGATGCTTGAGACCTTTGTGGTTGGAGTCGGAGTTCAGGGCCACCCTGTTCGGGTCTCCGTGTTGTCGCTGGGGTTCTTTGAGTGCTGGGCATCAAAATCCCGAGAACAGGAGAACACCCCACCCGTAGGCCAGCGCTATTAGGTTGGAGGCCATCGCTTCTAGGTTGGAGGGCAGAGCGGCCTTAAAGAATGTAGAAGAGGACCCAGAGTCTGTGTGTCATCCGTGCTCTGCTTTTCGCAGCTGAAGACAAGACATGCTCAGCTGCTGGAAAGGGACACAGCAGTATGAAGCAAACGATGTGGGAGGAACACAACAGTGTATCAAAATGATTCATATTATGTATACTGTATACATATGATATGACTAAAGAAGCCAGCCCCTTCCGCTATGCCGTGGAGGGTCGAACACTCAAGTTGTGTATCCCGCGCACTGCTCCCCTGTATGAACACTGATCAAGCCAGTGTACATTGTTCAGGACTTTGTTTGGAGACCACATCGCAAACTCTTTTGCAGGGTTGAACATACGGCTGCAGGGATGAAGGGCCAGCCAAATTTTATATGGTTTCAACATCAAAATGAGAGGATTCACACTTGAACAACGCTAGAACAGAAACGTATGGAGGATGCTTAGTCCCTACTTTGGCATAGACACGCATCGATGAACCAGCTTCTGCTGGGTTTGCGCATTTGGTCAGGATGGCCACACGGACCTCTTGACAATGACCGTTTTCTTCCACGTGCTCATGGGTGCAGTACAAGCCTCAGAGGCCTCTGGCAGTGCGTCTTTCAGGTCACTGGGGCCCAACTCGGGCTAAGCAGAAATGCAGAAGCACATATTGGTTGGTTTTTACTTGCCAGTTGAGGGATTCTTAATGATATTTACATGGGAGGGCTGGAGTTCCAGCTTGACAACGCTTTAAAAGGCGGGGGCTGCCTCAGAGACTCTCATCCGCGAGTCGCAGCTGTGAGGTGGACGAAGCGGCGCAGGGAGCGAGCCGCAGTGCAGCGCTGGAGGTGATCACAGACCAACGGTGGAATCAACAGAGTCTAAAGTCTTTCATGAATCACTCAACATAATCACCAAAATTGTCTAGAGTCTAAAGTCTGTCCGTAGCAGGAGATCTTTGGATGTGGGTTGTTATGGCTTTTGCAAGCAATGCAGGATGTCGTTTTGCCTTGGGACCCGAAGTTGGGTGTCCACAGTTGAGAAGCGTTTAATGCATACAACGCATGGAACTGTTGGATATGGAGAGCAACAACTTCTCAAGGATGCTGCAAGAGCTTACTTTCAGTAGCTCAGATATGTATGTATACACTGTACATACAGTGATTCAGGAGACTGGAGCTTCTCCAAGTAAATCCACTGCCAGTGAAGGTGCAGTCGGCGGGATTCGGTCTTGTCGCACCGAAGTCGGAGTGCGGAAGCTGCTCTTTCGCCGACAGCAGAGGTTTTCTGACAGAGCGATTGCTCTTCTGTCTGAGCGTTCTTGAGCTTTCGCAATTTTTTGCTCACGCATTTGAGAAGCTTTGGCGATTTTCACCAAACCAATTGCCTCGCAACAGTTGGTCAAACAAATTGCCTTGCAGAGTTGCCAACTTTTGCATTCATGCGGGGATGACCTTTACCAGGGGCAGAATGCCGGAAGACCTCCCTAATTGGGAGCCAAGTGGTGAGGGCACGGCGGGGGAAGGTTCTGCTTTTTATCGGTTATAGTCACCTTTTGGATTGTTGTTTACTCTAGATTGCGGTGCACTTGCTGACTGCAGAGGTGGCAGCTTAGCGCTGCAATCGATTCACGAGGAGGGTGCTGCTGTTGACCCAGCGACTCAGGTGCGTGGCACAGACAAGCCGAACATGTTCAAATTTGGATAGCGGATATGGATATGGCTGGCTGAGAATGAGATCCTGCAAAACAGATTCTGTATGGTTCTGTTCATTTTTCTTCTGCCCACTAGTCTTAACTTTTGAGCGTAGATCTCGGACATGGTAGACTGACTGACTAGCCACCCATCACCCTTTTCTGGAAGTACGTGGAAGTACCTTGTCTTCAGAAGCCATGGATTTCAGGTGATCTAAATATGCACAATGCAGCCTTGTCTCTGACAGGGTGGTGAAACTGCCACCCCGCTGGTGCCAGGCGGTTTTTTTTGTCGATGCGCACAGTGGCCCCAAATAAGCATCATAGACGTGGATTCTCACGCAATGGTCTGAACCACTCTAGCTTTTGGCCACATGGATGTGGATGGATTTTTGTCATTGTGGTACTTCAGTGAACACTGAGCAATGGAACGAAAAAGCGTTGAAACGCCTGTGGGTATCTCCATTCTTCTTGGCGACCTCATCGATGCGAGGCTTAGCACCCCAAGAGGAAGGCCCAGTGCTCAGCGGTTCGGGAGAGG